TCCATTATAAACAGTCGTAAACTTAAGTCGAACAAAATTTTAATTAGGGAATACTTAAGACTACTATAGACACTGGGTGTATTCAAGACAGGCAGTTCATTAAAATTAAAATATATACCCTGTAAAATTACCATTCGAACATGGCGGAAGTGCCACAGATGCTGGCCAGGTGCCAGCCATCTGGTTGTTCTAGAACAGTTCTAGAGCAGGTTAAACTAGCGCACATAACAACAAAGTGACAACACGGTATGTAAGTTATACTGACGACATGGTATGCAAGTTAAACCTACGACACTGTATATAAGTTAAACAAGTTACATTTAGCAGCGCCATCGTTAAACCGTGAGCATTGTTCTGATATTTTAAAATGGTGACATCTGATTAGAAATCTCACATTGAGCATGATCTATACATTTAAATCTTGACTCTCAATGTAAAAAAGTAGAAGCGTATAACCTTTGGGTTATATGTTATATATGTTTATAGAACACAATAATATCATAGTTTAAGATACCAAATATAACAATTATAAAGGCTTAAAGAACACACACACGTACTTTTCTATGAGCCGCACATTTCATTCATTCAAGGAGCCACATTATCTTTCATTCGACGAGACAAATTTTGTCTCTGTCAAAGAGCCGCATCTTTTCTTCAAAGAGACAATTTATTCGCATTTACAGCAGCGTGATTTTTTTTTCACATCCAACGATAAGCGTGTCTCATTCAAAGAGCCACATTTTCTTTTCAAAGAGACACATTTTCTTTCAGGGGCACATTTTTTTCTCATCCAACGATAAGCTTGTCTCATTCAAAGAGCCACATTTTTTTCACACTCAAATCGCCGTATGTGGATGCAAGTTGGCGACCAATGAATGGAGCCAGCGAATGGCTCGACGATGGGAGAGGGGAGGTTGAATGGGGCTAATGAGGTTAAGGGGGCCCTGAGGTTCAGGGGGCCCCAAAATGTCTCTCATAACTGAAACCCAATACGTACAAATGACGGGGGTTCGGCGGGACGAGTACGCCAGGGCCCCGTCACAAGCTTGCGGGCATTTGATGACTGGCTCAGGTACCGGATCTTCGGTGCTTAACATATCCTGGCTAGTTCTGCTACCTTTGTGTCTGCTCAACAAGAGAGTGGATGCGTCACGGAGAAACTTTGTCCTTTCTTCGCCCCACGCGTCATGCGGCGACCACACAATGACGCTCCTTTAGATAAATTACACGACGCAGACAAAGAAGGGTTGCGCCCCTTGGAGAACCACACCGCCAAAACCGGATCTGAAGTTTGTGATGGCTCCCTGCATATTGTAGTCTACTAAAGGAGATCTCGTTTTCCATTTGTTACTACGTAAACAATGCCAATTTTAATGTACGTAAACGTTAAATTAAAAAGTAAACAATCTATATTAGCTTTGTTTTCATAATATCTAAAAATAACTATTTGGCAAGATTTTCTAGTTTATTTTTAAAGTGCGACAAAAAAAAAAATCTACTGGTGTAAATTACCCACTCTCTCCCCCTCCCCCTTGTGTCTGATCTAAGCGAAGGATTTCCGCGGTGATGTTACCCAATTATTTTCGGAAATTCCCATTCGGCGTCCACGCGCCACTTGAGATATAAATATATATACATAAATCCCGGGAGAATTTGCGAATAGACTTAACGCTTGCTTCAGTCAGTGTCAGATGGTACACACTTGGTCCAACGAGGAAGTTAACAATTGTTTGCCGAATGGATTTTAAAAGTCTAATTTAAGAAAGTTAAACGAAAATCTAACAGACACGGGATTTTTTGGTTTCTTTATCATAAAAGAGGTTGGTTTTTTTTTCTTGAGTAAGTCTTACATACTAGTTGTATTGAGTTGGTTGGTTGCCGCGTAGAGCTGTAGCTAGATCTAGCTGTATTAGACGTCCTGCTGTGTTTTTGTTGGAGTCATAATATCTGTAGACTAGTGTTGTAGTGACTGGAGATAGACTTAAGAAGGCCAAGGTTTAAAATCATTCATCCAATGAGGGCTAAACACCAAACTTCCTGATCTACAGGAGACCAATACGGCTCCCCCCCACTGAATTTGCTTGTCCTGACTGTCCTCACACTCAGTGGATTCACAACTGTTGAGGACCTTAGGACAGAAAATAATGTTGCTTTAGACTAAATATTGTGACGTTTTAAATTATTATGGTGAAGTTTGAATCTGTTTCTGTTTGGATCGATTACTTATTCTGTGAAATTCTAAAATTATTCAAACATGTTTAACTTGACAGTAAGTTGATTTTAGATTTTAAAACTAAAACTGTAGTCTTATCATAATTTTATCTTTAATGGTTAAAGTTTAGTTTTTCCCCCCTGATAAATAAACCAGCTGAATGGAGCTGAATACGTCTTGTGTGTGAAGGACGGCGCATGTCCAAATACTAGGGCTAAATGTAGAGTGTAGTTTAAATTCAACGTACTGTTTGTATAAACATAATGTTATGTGTAAACGTACGATTTTCTCATTGTATGCTGTGGTCATGTGATGATGTAGAGTTTGGGATTTGTTGATAAGTTATTTGAAATAATAGGATGTACTTGAACACAGACCTATCTTCCACAATTAAGTCAAAACATAGAGGGGAGAGGGTCAAATGAATGACTAACTAGATGGGATACATGTTTCATTATAGTTGCTAACTATTATAACTGTAATTATTTATTCTGGCATTTTGTAATGATGTTAAAATATCGAACACTAGTAGATTATCTGATTGACCTCCCATTAGACAAGTGTATAGAGTAGACTCCCTTGTCTAGTCGTTAATGAAGGACATTTCAAGTGTTATTATCTCGTGACACCTTAATCAAGGGGATCAATGAATACTAGAGTTAAACATAATGTTTAGGTTTATATAAAGTTAAAAGTGTACACTGATTACACATACAGATAGTTGAGAGGATGAATCAGCGTTATTTTTTAACGGCGGAAAGTACCATGGGACTGAATCAGCTAAAGTTAAGTCAAGGGAGGATAACTTCCCCACCCACGACCACAACAATCCATCCAAATCTTTCACTGAATTCTCCCGATTCCAGATATCCGCGTCTATGTACAATACGAATGTATTTTCCGAGTACTGCATGAATGGCGGGTAAAAAAAACAACCACCACTTTCAGTGAAGCGTGATGACGCGATGTTTGACAATCGCCCACGTCATCTGAAGAGTCTCTGGTGGCAAAGTCAGGGTAAAACACTCGGAACACACCCTCAATTGTGTTTTTTTTAACTGCGTCACGAGTTTTATGACGTAGGTCTGGAACGGCTTGGGGAAACACGACAAAGTTTTAATTGGTATTTAAATTTAAACCCGTCGTCTGCACGGCAATGAAACACATGACTGCGGCGGGCGTTATGTGTTTGTGGAGCGGCAAGTGAGGATATTATTCTCATGGTACTTTGTTATGCAAATGTCCGTGTTAATATCTGTGGTAGTCAGTAGGGTGAGGGGTGGGGGGTGGGTGGGGTGGGGGGGGGGGGGTGTTAGTTGAACAGGGATATAATCGTCATGGAAAGGTCCGGTACAATCACTTTCAGATAATTTCAACGAACAGTTGAGTTGAATTACCTAAAGGGAACTATGTTCAAGGAATTTGTATTTCTTAGAGGGAGATAACTTCAAGTATTTTTTTTTCCTTGAGTGAAGTGATTTCAAAGAATTTTTCCCTCAAAACTTCAGTTTCGTTTTAAAATTAGTTATAACTATAGAACTTAGCTTATGATGAACGTTCACTTCAAAGACATAGCAAGTATGAAACATATTTACCACATTATATATATATATATATATATATATATATATATATATATATATATATATATATATATATATATATATATATATATATATATATATTTATATATATATATATATGTGTGTGTGTGTGTGTTTGTGTATCTATAAATCATCTCTCTCTCCCTATATATATATATATATATATATATATATTATATAAGTGCATATCTCAGCTTTGGTGAGCTAGTGTTTGTTATATCCTGCACGGACGTCTGCTGTGCATGCTAGCACGTTCGCCGAGTGCTATTTATAGATTTAATCAGGATTGCTATTAATTAAGTCAATTGCATATATTGAGTTTTTGCGTTACACAAATGGGATTGGCGTATTTGAAAACACTTTAAAGTCGTAGTACCATGACCGTTTTCTGTTATTGAAAATATGTTGTACGGTATTTTTGCTTTTAATTTTAGGTTTTTGAAATGGCGAGCTGTAAACGAAAGTTTAGGATTTTTTTTTTATAGAACTGGATGTGTTACTATAAATAACACTGCCGGTGTATCAGTAGGATAGTTCGTACTGCGCATGTCTTTTGTATGGAACCAATGATGTTTAAAGAATCCTTTCAAGTCTCATTGAATTGGTGCTCCAACCTTTGATAGATGATGACACCGTCTAGACAGTTAAACGTACTTTACTTTTGTTTACTGATGTTCGTATTGGTTAGCAATGCCTACATATTCATAAAGATGGCTTTAACTGTGTTGTGTTTAGTTTAGGCTTGTTATAAGAGAAAGTATGAGTGTAATGTTTGGGCTAGGGTTAGTGTTAGACTAGATTTGTATGATGGATCTCTGCTATACTTTTTCATCGATGTGTCTTTCAATGTTTGTATGTTGATGGGGTTCTTCAACTGACTGAGCAAATAGTCGTTGATCTTTAGTTGCTGATCGTTGGTCGCTGATCTTTAGTCGTTGATCTTTAGTCGTGGATCTTGTGGTTTTTAAACTGTTTTCCTTAGCACTTGGCAACATATTAAAATTCGCATTTTTGTTTGCTACAATAAAATACCGACAATAGGTGTTCTATTTCACAACAACAACACGTTTTTGTTGTTTAGTCTTATTGTTATTTTCTTGTCTATTTCACAGGAGTGTTGGTAACTGGATCATAGGACCAGTGGTGTAGTGTTGATCGCCTAATCGGACCACAGGATATTGGTGATTGGCTAATTAGACCAGTGGTGTATTGGTGATCGGTTAATCGGACCACGTGTATTGATAATTGGTTAATCGGACCACAAGATATTGATGATCGACTAATAGTACCAGTGGTGTATTTATCATCGATTAATCGGACCACATATGTGTCGATGGCCGGCTAATCAGGCCACATCAAAAAGACAAAAGCTGTTGACATTAACCATGGTGTATAGCACGAGTGTAAGAGACGCATCATGGGAACTCTAGAGAAGACCCCAGCCCTGGTGGCGGCTGCCCAGAGCGGTGACCTCCCTCTAGTCGAGAAGCTACTGAGAGCCGGGCACCCAGTGGATGCGGGGGACGAGCACGGCGCCACGGCCCTCCACTGGGCCTGCTGCAGGGGCCACGAGGCCATCTGCCGTCTGCTGCTAGACGCCGGATGTGACGTGGACGCCAGGATCAAGTGGGGCGGGACAGCGCTGTTGTCTGCTGTAGATAACGGCCATGAGGGCTGCGTCAGGCTGTTGTTGAATAGGTCAGCACTTACGTTTCGTATTCTCTCAGTTTCTGTCCGGTTTTACATGGTTTAAAACAACACTTTTATCGTGTTTGCTGTTATTTAAAAAAAAGATGCTCAGATTCGTCCCTTATTCAATGCACTGCTTATCGTGCCTTAAAACTTTTTACAAGCTTTTATTTGACTTGATTTCTTTGTAATACTTCTTCCATCCTTCATGGGTGGAAACAGGCGAGCAAATTTCCACCACTTTTCCTGCACCGATTTCTTTTAAACTTGGCACGTGGGTCAAGATCCAATACAATGTGACAACAATTTTGACTTAACTGGATGCTGAATTATTTTTTAAAGAATTAATTTAAATTTCATACATGAACCCCTTTTTGTCCCCTCTAGAGGTATTAATGTGACTGCTCCTAAATTAACCCTAAACTTTTTTTGCCCCCTCCAGAGGTGTTAACGTGGATGTCCCTAACGCCAGAGGAGACACGCCCCTGCACATGGCGGCCTACAGGGGGTACCACAAGCTCCTGTGTCTTCTGACCGACGCAGGGGCGAACCCGTTCCACAGGAACTCCCACAGCCTGACCCCCATACAGGAGGCGTACGCCAGACGACACACGGACTGTGTCAGCCACTTACAGGAGTACACGAGCAAGGTCAAAGGTAAGTCCTCATTCATTACTTTTGCCGTCTATTTCCAATTACGCCTAGTTACAACTAAAACAAGTCTGTCTAATCGAATGACTAGTTACAGTTTATTTTTTTGTCCGGAAGTTCTGGTTTCGTTCTTATGGTTAAAGGTAAAGGTTAGAAATATAAGAGGTCGAATGTAAAGATTATTGTTAAGAGGAGTCGCCTTAACTCTCAAAAGGAAAACACTGTAGTTACATAGGACTATAACGAGTTACAGCCGCACTTAATTAATTACATAATCCATTCGATGTGATTACAGATAGCTGGGATTCGTACTGCGACATATATATATATATATATATATATATATATATATATATATATATATATATATATATATATATATATATAGTTACACGGATACATTTTTACACTATTCACTATTATTCTAAAATGTTGATGTTTTGATAGAAATATAAACTGATTCATTAATCTTTTTGTTGCAGATAAATTCCAAAATCCTCCTCAGAAACCAACCAGCGAAATAATCTCGAAAAACTTCAACTCACTCTCCGATGACGTCATTCGCTTGGCCAGACCTCCCAAAAAATTAGACGGGAGTTTCTCCAATTTAACACCCGAACCCAAACTATCCAATCTACACCAGCACAACTCACTGCCTGCGGACGTTTCTTTAGATTCAGACTACTCATCGTATTCCTCTGGCCAGGGGTCTTACCCCGACACCAACGTGGGGGGAAAATACTCAACCTGGCAAGATTCTAGTTTCGAATCTCTTTTCTACAAAGCGACTCCAGTGAACGCGCAATACGGGTGTCCAGTCTCTAAAAGGGTACACGAAGTTTGCGGTAACAATATCAAAGACACTAGACTCAATGCGGAACAGACACGGTCCAATGCTAGTGATAGCAAAGATTCGTCTAAATTACATATAATAGCGCCCCCAGAACTACCCCCTAGGCCATCGTGGCTTGTGGATAAAACAACAGTAGGGTACCAGATTCAAGGTAGTGAGAAAATGTCAGAAAAACAGGCGAAACTTGCAAGTGATAAGGAAAATATAGGGACGGAAGAGGATAAAAAAGGGGAGACTATTCTAAAGCTACAGTCAAAAATGGCGGAGCTGCAGCAACAGTTAGACATGTGCCAAAGTTTTAACATCCAACTGAAACATCAGATCGTTCGTTTAATGAACGAGAACATAGCACTCAAAGCAGACAACGCAAACCTCCAAAGATCTCGCCAACACGAGCCCAAACTACTTAACATAAGCCCACACGGGGTGTCTGAACTGGACGAGGGGGTGCACTCAGCCCCCTACCTCTCGTCCTACCCACCCTCGTCCTACCCACCCTCGTCCTACCCTCCCACATCAGCGGGGGTGGCGCCGAGCTATCTCGGGGGCTACAGGAGCCGAGAGCCTGTCGAGAGCAATGAGATGCTCTAACACGCAAGTAAAGCTACAGTTGCTTCACGAACTAGTCAACACTGTACAAATATTTCTCATTGCGCTTGCTCAAATGTAGCACGTTATGGAAGGCTACATACTACATAGTACTTTATACTTCTTTTAATATTGAACTCGGGTAGACCTAGAACTCATAGACCCATTGACTCGCAATTGAAAATGTTCGATTAGATTTTATTAACAATGTTAGATCTGGTCCAAAAAACCTAGGTTTAATTTATAACATTATTTTGTATGTTAATTTTGTTGACGGCAGTAGCTAGGCCCTACTTTAGAACTGGTGGATTGGTAGCCACTACTTACAGCACACGTGTAGGCTGTTGTTTCAAGTGTTGATGGCACGGGTAGCTAATGCATGTAGTAGCTACCTTATCAAGCTACATTTGAACCTATATAATTGTGCAATGTTTAGCCCATTGTGCGAACGATTGTTCAGACTGATGTGATACAATGTTCAGGTCTAGTTTATTTTTAAACCTTGTTTCAGTTCAACCAGCTCACTGACCAATGTTGTGTGACTTCTTGTACATTCGCTTGTAAATTATTTATTAACAGTAACGATGCAGCTCAAATGTGAGAGCTTGTCTCGAAGTCTTGTTGTCTTTTTGTGTTTATCCTCTGTAGTTGAACTTCATGAAGAAATATCTTCAGTAAGTGAAGTATTTGTGCCACTTATTGTATTGTAATACAATATACCAGTGACACATGTAAGAGAAAACTCTACTATTTCGTATGTTCTTTTAGATTTTGAGAGTAGAGTGGAATATAAAACTAGATCTAAATGTGATCCAAGTTTTGTGTTTGTTTTAGTATGTTGGACTTGGTGTATGTTATTTTATAAGTTTATGTAACATTGCTGGAAATGTTACATAGCTTTGAACGATGTATATGTAATGTTACATAATTATGGATGATTTTGTTTATGTAATTTTATTAGTATATGTGACAATGCTGGGAATGTTACATAACTGTGAACTTAATGTATATGTCATGTTACATAAATATGAATTTTTTTATATGTAATTTTGTTAGTTTGATATGTGACAATGCTGGAACTGTTACATAACTATGGACTTGATGTCTAGCCCGCCTATTAAAATGGTTGTTATGCTCGGTGTACTTAAGTCTTTGTTGTTATGCTCGGTGTACTTAAGTCTTTGTTGTTATGCTCGGTGTACTTAAGTCTTTGTTGTTATGCTCGGTGTACTTAAGTCTTTGCCTTCATCTATCTGTGTTCCACCAAAAGTCTGACTAGGTTAGGCTGACTTGTTATTGGGCAGATGGTTTGTTATTGGGCAGAGGAAGATGGCTTGTTGCTGGGCAGAGCAAGATGTTGTGAGGTTGTTTTAAGCAAGGTGTAAATACTTTAGTGACTCTGTCCAGAGCCAGATTAGGTTGAGTCACTGACTCCATACAGAGCCAGATTAGGTGAGCCCCTGACTCCATACAGGGCCAGATTAGGTGAGCCCCTGACTTCATACAGAGCCAGATTAGGTTGAGTCACTGACTCCATACAGAGCCAGATTAGGTTGAGTCACTGACTCCATACAGAGCCAGATTAGTTTGAGTCACTGACTCCATACAGGGCCAGATTAGGTGAGCCCCTGACTTCATACAGAGCCAGATTAGGTGAGCCCCTGACTCCATACAGAGCCAGATTAGGTTGAGTCACTGACTCCATACAGAGCCAGATTAGGTTGAGTCACTGACTCCATACAGAGCCAGATTAGGTTGAGTCACTGACCATACAGAGCCAGATTAGGTTGAGTCACTGACTCCATACAGAGCCAGATTAGGTTGAGTCACTGACTCCATACAGAGCCAGATTAGGCTGAGTCACTAGATTATGTGTGAGTCAGTCTCAGTAAATCTCGCCAAATAACTAAATCTCACTAGACTAGGAAGTTCAACCCAAGCTAAAAATAGTACATTAAGGTACATCATGTTTTATCATTTCAGTCATGTGACATAAACCCTTTTTTTAAAATGTCAAATTTCAAATGTTAACAAATAGACTGTTCCACTTTAAGTTTACATAAATTAAAGAACTAGCCCTTAGATAAAAACCAACAAAGCAAACAGAACAGCATATAGGAGACGTGAAATAAAATCTTTCATAACCTTCGGCAGTTGTCACGATCCTATCTAGCTTACTGTATTCCTCCTGTAACCAGGAAGGTCATAGCCATTCAGTAATGTTATACCAGCTAGGCTACCATTTATGGGAAAACCCAGGCTTTCATTCAAATGTAGTCAACCGAAACCTTTGAATATTTTTTCATAAAACTGGTCAATCATTTGATTTAAAAATGCTGAGTAACTTTCGATTGACGTGATAAAAAATAGTTACAAAAAAACCTTTTAATGTAAAGAGTATTATCATTTAAAATAAAAATTGAATAAAATAAATAAAAGCAAAAGGTTATGAAGAATCAAAAGGTTCTACGCCAACACAAATAGAATGTTGTACAATACTGAAGGTGAACTAAGGACAAATAAACATTCACACAGATGTCAATACTAACAGAAAGAAACTATACAATGTTTTATTCTTAAAACTAATAAATTTGCTCCAAAGTCACTATGATTACAAAAATACAATAGATAATAAAATGAAACATTCCAATAATGTGCATATAAAAAGTAAATCAACAAATAAAACTGATATTAAATATTATTTGAGAATACTACAAATTACCAATGTTTAAAAAATCAATTAACACATTGTTGTAAAACCATTAATGTACGAGAAAAATGGCCCGTTGAGGAAGGATACACCGGGCGCTAGCTTGATAGTGCTGTCTCTTTTCTCTAAACTAAAACCAACCCACCCCCCCCCCACACACACCACCCCCACCCCACCCCCACACACCACCCCCACCCCCACCCCCCACCCCCCACACACACCGCCCCCTCCACACACCGCCCCCCCACACACACCACCCCCCCCCACACACACCACCCCCCCCACCCCTCCACCCCCCCCCCCCCCCCCCAAAAAAAACATGCCTACCGTCCCATTCAACGAAATATAATTATATACTTTTTCCAGTGTCCGCCCCTTCCCCGAAAATTCTACCCCCGCCCCCGAAAATTTCAAGTACCCCCCACCCCTCTCTGGGGAGGAAAAAGTCTAAACTAAAACCACCCCACCCCCCACACACACCACCCCCCACCCCCCACACACACCACACCCCCCCACCCCCCCACCCCCCCCCCCCCCCCCCAAAAAAAAACATGTCTACCGTCCCATTCAACGAAATATAATTATATACTTTTTCCAGTGTCCGCCCCCTCCCCGAGGGGGGGGGGGGGGGTCTCAGACATTCTTACGCGGGGGGTGGGGCTTCGCCCCTACCCGAAGAATTGTATGCAAGAAACTCTTCACGCAAACCATTAAGATTAGACAACATTTCCTTTTTATTCAATGTTAACGCGAAAATCAATGACGTCATATAACTTTGAGCACTCTCTGGGTTTGAGATTATTTTCTACTCTGTGCGCTAAATGTGTCGACGTCATACTTCGTTTTTCGAATTACTGTGCATGTTTTTATTTTCCTTGTGTTTTCTCTAGAGCGTTCTTGTCAGATAGATAGATAGACAGACAGCGAAACTATTAGTATTAATGTAAAAATGTTCACTTCTAAACAATCCAAACTCATTTGTTCCCAGTCTTAATAAAACAACATTCTAAATGTAAATTTGGATCATCTGTGCCTCAAAGTTTGGTCAAGTTTATCCAACTCTTGTAGAAAATTCTCTGCTTTATCTGGGTCAATGTTCATCTGTCAAGTAAACAAGTTACTATTTATAGACCAAGCATTTAGTAAAAACAACTTTAAAAGAAATTAAAATTTTCTAAAAAAATTGAATTTTAAAAAAAAGTAGTTAGCAAAGAAACAATTAAAGATCACTGTACAGAGTACCCATTTTTATTTTATTCTTTAAGGCTGAGAAATAATTCATTGCCCCTTCACTAATAAATGTCTGTATTTTATGTAGTTTTTTTTAAGAAATACATTATTAAAAGTAAGTGCCCACTTGCATTAGTTTAATTTCTATTTGTTAATAATCATTATCACATGTTACAATAACACAACTCTAATCGACCCAACTTAAACAGCATTAGTTAATACAGAGTATTAATTAACAAAGAACATAGGACTTCATCACACTGCCATTAGCTATGTAGTAATTTTCTGTTTTGTATGTTTTGTATGTTGGCATTATGGGCCTTGGTATTTGACTGCCTGGTACAGAGCCAGAGTTTGTACGAGGCTAGATAGTCAGGCCAGGGCTTAGATCAGGGGTCTCCAAACTACGGCCCGCGGGCCGGATGCGGCCCGCGAGGTCATTTTATCCGGCCGGCGACGATCTTTTTGTCCACTGAATAAATGTTTGTTGGAGGTGGCTGAGGAGCTTTGCACAGAAAATTCAAAACAATTTGAAAATGTAGCTTTGTGTGCAAATACAATTACTCGCCGTGTTTCAGACATTGGTGAAAACATAGTGACTCTAATAGCGAAAAATTCAAGGAAGTTCAGCCATTTTTCAATTGCAATGGATGAGTCGCTGGGCAGCTGTTCCACCTCACCACTTCGTGTGTTTATTCGAGGTGTGGGTGAAGACCTGAACGTAACACAAGAGCTGGCTTCCCTAAAAATAATGTATGACACTGTTACCAGAGAGGATATCTAACCATAGATAGTTCAGAGACAAACACAAAATTCTGAGCAGAGTATCTAAGAAAAGAAATAGGTGACTTCCTGATTGTAAAGGCAAGTCACAGCCATTATTGTCAGACGAAGAGTGGGTATAGAAATTGGCCTCTGCTGCAAACATAACTAGTCATTTAAATTTTCTGAACCTAAAACGGCAAGAGAGTGAAATCTAGTTTCTGATCTATACACCCACATAAAGGCCTTTAGATACAAACTTGTCATGTTTTTTTGAACAAGTACAGGATAACAACTTGACACACTTTCAGCAGTGCAAGGTCTTTACGGCTGAAGCAACCACTGAGTTCCCCACGTCATTTACATACGAGTTCATTAAAGACCTCCAGCTGCAGTTTCAGTTGCAGTTTTCTGACTTGGATTCATAGGCAGAAGAAGTGAGACTGTTTCAAAGCCCATTTGAAGCAAATGTGGCCAGTTGCAAAGATGAACTGCAGCTGGAGGTCATTGAATTCCTTAGAGACACGTTCAAAGAAGGGCAGATGGGGTTTCATACGTCTTTGCACAAGGAAGACTTTCCTAACATTAAAACTTTTGCATCAAAGTACCTTTTAAATTTTCGAACAACATAACTGTGTGAACAAACATTTTGAAGAATGAAATACGTGAAGAACAATTTGAGAGCAAACGTGGACCTCGGGTGGGGGGGGGGGGGGTGGACACTTGAAATTTGTATATATTCCTATATAAATTATATTTAGTTGGGGGGGGGGGGCGGTAGACGTTCTTCGGGGGGGGGGGGGGCGCCACGACCCTGAAGAGATGCCTTAAAGAAACTCTGGCCCTCGAACTGATATTTGATAGTTAATGCGGCCCTCGGGCTGAAAAGTTTGGAGACCCCTGGCTTAGATCAAGTGAACATATAGGTCAGAGTCTAGCTGCAACAGCTCAATGTTACTAGACACCCTCTAAGATCTACATCCTGTATTTACAGCACTCTTTTGACCAGGAAGATTAAAGATAAACAATTTATAAACTTTTCTGACTATCTAATCTATTATAATAACCCCGGCACAAGTGCATAGATCTATGTTTTTATCAGCACTTGTAGTTTATTTTTTTTCTTATTCTCAGCGGCAATCATTTCATAAAAGGTAAATTGGGCAGAATGTAGAGATTAGGGGTTATATTTTCCAGTCCTGGAGAATATCAGGACAAAGTACTGAGATAAAAATCTATCTTTGTTCTACTGTGACAGTCTCCTTACTTGGGTGTTGACTGGAAGATTCATGTCAGCCTGATCTTAAAGCCAGAGTTGGGGAGTTAATAAAGTACATTTTTTGTTAATACATGGGGCTTTACTAGGGTCTTGTGATGATAACCAATACTGAAAAAAAATCTCAATGATTAGATAAGTACAAAAACAACACTGCAAAAACAC